TCTAGTTAATACTACCATACTTCCGGTTATTTTGACTAAATAGTATCACTGTGTAAAAATCAAGTAGGCTCATAAGAAATGTTACCATATTTTTTTTTTTCAGTATTTTCGGAATCATGTGGATTTCTCATTATAAGGAACTTTCACTGAGGTTTAGAGGTTTGAGGCAAGATCCATCCATATAGGTCAGTCATTCCCGAAACCGAAATGAGAATCTTCTGCGCATGACGTCAGCATTACTGCCGCGAAAACCAGAAATGTCGGAAACAATGCTTTTCTTATGGGAGAGAACAAATTTTTCTTAATGAATCATTTAAATTTCTTACTTTTAAATTCTTTGAAGCTTTTTGAGTGTCGAAAGGAACGTTTAGAAATTAGCGTCAAGGGTTTCAATTCAGCTGAATTTGCGTTTTTATTTTTTTAAATGATTTTTGAAGTCAGCGATGTAACAAGCAATCTAGTGGTATAAATTCGCGTGTAAAAATGGCTGATGCAGAGTAAACTGTAAAAATTAAAGAACACAAATTCGGCAAAATCGAAACCCTGAATGCTAATGTCTAAACGTTCTTTTCGACACACAGAAAGTTTCAAAGGATTTAAAAGTAAGAAATTTAAATGACTCATTAAGAAAAATTTGCTCTCTCCCATTAGAAAAGTATTGTTTCCGACTTTTCTGGTTTTCGCGGCAGTAATGCTGACGTCACGAGCCAATGGAAAGGGGCTTACCCCGAGCGGGGAAATCTGCGCAATGACTGACCTATATGGATGGATCTTGGTTTGAGGGAAGACGATCTTGAAATCCCAGTTTTGAAAAAGGGGGAACATAAAAAAATAGCGACCTTTCGAGGAAAATCCGACGTCAGCGCGTCTCGTCATGTTGATTGCCGGGCCGTGATATTCATCGCGAAACACTCGAAATCAGGACAATCTCGCCTCCCCGTCTGCGGTGGGCTCGTCACGAGCCTACAGATAACGTCGCTTCTCCGACATAAGGGCGTATCTGTATCCTTACTTGAGCCCCGGAGAGCATAGAGCTATACAGAAAACAGGGCTCACGTTGAAACCGAGACACGCCCTTACGCCGGAGGAGCGACGATAAGGGCCGACGACGATGGAGAGAACGACGCGGAGACAAAGGCAATCTAGCTTTCAATTGTTGGTAACCGAGAAAAAAAACAGCCGAGACGGAAACCAAAAACACAACCTAAGAGGAGAGCTCGTAGGGGGAGGAGGGAAGAGCCTCCAATTAATTACTAAATTAAAACGCGCACGCAAGTCTTGGGATGCCAGCTATGAAGACTAGCTGCGTTGCCATATTTTTGGAATTGGACAATTTTTCGAACCGTTTACACCAAGGAAGGATAGTATGATGGAGAATTTACAGGCGTCTGAGTTTTAGTTAATTACCGTGTAATTGCGGGTGAGGAGACCGTAACGTATGCATTCAGGAGCCGGAGCAACCTCCTCTAAACCCATAGCAAAAAGGAGCTGCCGGCTCAGAGGCCGATGATCTGGCTGCTGAATGCGGAACTTACGGTCTCCTCACCCGCAACGCACGGTAGTGCTCTAAAGCCCGTAATGGAGATGTTGCATGTGTGAGGAATTTGCGATTTGACTGTTGATTCTTATGTAAAAGTTCGCGAGAAACACTATGGTGCCACTGGTTGTCTCTGAAAACAACTCTCAAGCTCAAAAAACGCTCTCAAGTTGAGGCCAAAATGTAGGGGGTATCCCACGCTCTCCTGAGAGTCCACCTCTGCATGGAGACAAACTCTCCATGCAAAGATAGGGAGCAAATACATCAGCAGTGATGCCGAGTTTCCAGTTTTGGAATCCCCAAATAAAGTGGCAGCCCTGTCAACGTATTTGCTCCCTATCTTTGCACGGAGAGTTTGTCTTCATGCAGAGGTGGACTCTCAGGATAGCGTGGGATATCCTCTCCATTTTGGGCTCAACTTGAGAGCTTTTTTGAGCTTGGGAGTTGATTTCAGAGAAAACCAGTGGCACCATCGTGTTTCTCGCGAACTTTTACATAAAAGTCAACCGTCAAATCGCAAATTCCTCACACATGCAACATCTTCATTACGGCTCCTGGAGCCGGAGTTTTTTTCCAGTGTAATGTTCGGAAATTAGGGACAAGAATTTTCTAGGTCTTTAGAATCCTGGCGAATGAGGGCAAGAACTGCACACAATCAACAAAACCTGATATCGGACACCTACCAAATTCTTAATTTCTACCCCTTGTATACTCTTTGAAGAAGAATGAAAAGACATTTTGAGCAATTTTTCGGTCCCACGTGGCAACGCTGCGAGGGAGTCCCGCTTTTCCGGACGCGCGAGAATGGGAGTGAATGCGAAACTGAGAATGAGACTACATTTGCATGCGCTCTGTCCAGATCCAGAAACGAGGCGCGGTTGAGGAGGGGCGGGGGCAGGGAAGTCCGCGGGGAGCCGGGGTGTTAAACTCACGATAAAACCCTCAGAAACGCATGCGGGGAGACTATAATCTCGAAAGAATACTTAAAACGCGAGCCCCTGGTTGCCGCATCGTTCGAGGACCAACAGGAGGCTCATTTTCCTTTCTCCAACTGTGCACGGAGAAAAAAACTTCGTGCGTGGGACCCAAATTTTAGGTCATATGGATCTCTGAAGTTTTCGGATTGAGCATCTGAACACTTAAGGTCCAGCTGCGAGGTTTGAATCACACATCTCAAACTTCAGTTCTTACATCTGAAGTGCTTCGGTTTTCACATCCGAAAAACTTCGGTTCTCACATCTGAAGTACGTCGCAAAAATCCTGGGAATTGACCCTGTAGACCGGTAGAACGAGCGAGCTAGTGACAAAAAATGAAAATTTAGGGGGTCAGAGAACTTACAGTAAAGTATATGTTTCCAATGTTGTCCCAAAAATGCACTGGAAAAAAAAACACATTAGATCTTAAGTCCAGACTCCTAAAAACATCGACAAAACAAATACTCTTAATTCAGTCAGATTTAAGCTTAAATCAATAACCAAGCCTCTTAATCTGGGCGGATTTCCTTTTGATTTAAGCTTAAATCTGATTGAATCAAGAGTCCTTTTTCTTGTCATTGTTTTCTAGAGTCTGGACTCTAGATACAATTTGTTTTTTTTGGCAGTGTACGAGAAATATTTCCCAACGTCTTGAAGCCGTAGTTTCCATCAAAACTTTCGAAGTGTTCACCAATATTCGAAAAACATCCCCAATCACTCGGGAATTTCCTCCCTTCCAGCCGGCATCACCGCCCGAGATTCCGAGGGAAAAACAAAGCGTAAAAAGCAGCGTTTGTTTACGTCTTGACGCGGAGCGAGTCGGATCCCGCTTTCAGCCTGCATCTGGGGGGATGATTGAGGTTTGCGCTGAAAGGGTAGCCCAGAAGAAAGGGTTCGGGCTCGGAAAGGGGGGCGGGTGGGGGTGGTCGTGTTGGATATGCACAAAGACGTGACTGTGTCGAGCGGGAGAGGCTTGGGGACGAAA